ACTTTCATCGCCATTCGAAGCAAACAAATCCGATAGTAAACAAACATGGAGATTAGTTAATAATCTCATTAACAAAGTCAGCAATAAATGCAACAACGACATCTTCGTGACGGCCAAAAATCAACCACTCGATCAACCGGAAGAAAGTTTCAACGAGTATTTAAAAAGCATTGGGATTCAGTTATCAAAAACATTCCCTGTTAAATCAGACGCAATTAGATTTGTTAAAAATTCTTCGTTCAACAGTTTTTTTTTTGAAGATGTAACAACTGAAGAAATTGTCTGCACAGCGAAATCTTTGAAGCAAAAATTTTCAAGTGATGTTGATAACATTTTGACAAAAATTGCAATTGTAACAACTAATTCTTCAGCTGAAACTTTAAAGTTTCTAATCAGCAAATCGTTTGAATGCAGAATTTATTATTGTTTTCCTTAATTTTAATTTAACATTAATTTTAATTAATTTGATTTCAATTCTATTCGAACAATGTATCGCATAATGATTTTAACCAGAGAACATATGTGTATATGTATTTGTATATATATATATATATATATATATATATATATATATATATATATATATATATATCATATATTGCTTTTTCAAAGTACATTTTTTTGATTTTATTTGTTCATTTTTGTTTCACGGTTTTCGGGAGTGACGAGGGGTTGTTTGCCAATAATTTGATTTTTTGTATTGATTTAGACATTTTTATATAAAATTGTAGGGTTCTTATATATTTGAGATTTTATCATTTTTAGGGCCCTTTTTCATGTTTCGTTTTTTATGCGTTTCATGAAATAAACTCGTTTAAAAAACAGCTGAATATTTCAAGATTATTAAAGTTGAAAGTTTTATCGAATTTAGCAAGTTACGGAACAGTTTTTTTTGCTCTGCGTAATTAAACCCAGTGTTGTTTTGAAATTGAAAATTAATTTTTACTTTTCGTTCTACAAAAAGTTAATTTTAAGTTACGCTGTTTACATCGTTGGGGATTCAAATTGTGTAGCTTTGTTAATAATGGGAGACAAACCTAAAAGAAATGTTATTAAAATTAAAGATAATTTAAGGATACAATGTAGTAAGTGTGTAGCAAATTTTCCTTTCCCGTCTGGTTTGTCGGAAGATAAGTTTGATTTGATAAAAATTGTGAATTACATAAAATATTTTTGTGATGGCTGCTTGATCAAGCTAACTTTAGATAAACAAATCTTGAAAAAACTTGAAGATAACAACTCACAATTAACTAATGAATTAAAAAATAAAATCAAGCGAATGAAGGAATTAAAAGTGAAGTTGAGGCCATTAAAACGATCATCGACACAAATGAAAACAAAATGTTGAAACTTGATGTCTCTGGCACTAAACTCTCTGATGAGATTATTAGTTTAAAAAGATCTTTTGCAAATGTTGTTAGTGGTGAAATAAAAAAAAGTGTCGAATCAATAAACAAGGATGTAGGGGAGGGTGGGGTACGTTGAGACATGGGGTACAGTGAGACAAATCAAATAATTGTTAAGTCGTACATAATTTTTTCTATAGAGTTAACCTAATCTGTACTTTAATAGGACCGGTAGTTTACAATATAATTTTCTGCGACGAAAACCGTGGGTTGCGTTTTTTAATTCTGATTTTTGATTTTTTGACAGATTTCTAGACATGTTAATATTTGGTTTGGAATGTAATTGTTCAATTATTTGTAATGATACTGAGGTCACTCTCACATGAAAGTTTGACGTTTCAATAAGGAATTAGTTCATATAGAAGCCAAATTTTGGTTTTGGCACTACGTCGAATAATAATGTCAACGACTGTTTGGGGTACAGCGAGACAACAATGATGGGACACAGTGAGACGTATACCTTGAGACAATAACAAAACTGATGTTAAACATGATTTGTTAATTAATAAAATAATTATTAAATAATTATATAATTAGTATAATAATTTATTTGCAGACAAAAATGAGAAATAGGAAAATAAAATCCAACAATGGCATGTTTTCCGAAGAAATCATGTGTCGTGCTGTAGGCGAAGTAATGGATGGTGGTTCTTTACAAAAGGTAGCTCATGTTCATGGCTTGTTATTCCAAACATTGGCCCACTATGTCACAAAAGCATCAGCTGTGCATCCTGGAAAAATTGTCAAATTCAAATCAAACTATGCAACTCGGAAAATATTTACAACAGAACAGGAAAAAAGTTTGGAAAAATATATCTTGCCAAGTTCAAAATGATGTATGGAATTTCAACAAAAGAGTGTAAAAAAATTGCATACGAGATAGCCAAAATTAATGGAATTAGATTTTCAACAACATAGAAAACTGAAGAATGCGCAGGTTTGGAGTGATTTAGGTTGTTCATGAAGCGGCATCCATCTCTTAGTATTAGAAACCCTGAAGCATGTAGTGTCCATTGGATGTTTCTGTGTACTATCCATTCTCTAAATTTTATAATGCTATAAACTCATGGTTAGTGAGAAATCTTGGTGAATCAGCTGGTATTTATGAAGGTGCAAAGTTTGTGGGGTATGCACACCGGAAATCTGTAACTCCGTCAAACATAATTTCTAGATTCGTCAACTGGAATTTATCCTTTTGACAGTAATATCTTTTCAGAGTGCTGTTTCAGATCGTCCGGATCCTGCTCTTAATGGACCTTGTACATCTGATCATTTGGATCCTGCTCTTGATAAACCTTGTCCATCTGTTTCTGATTATCTGGATCCTGCTCTTAGTGGGCCATGTCCATCCGTTTCAGATCATCTGGATCCTTTTCATAGTAAATTTAGTTCAACGTCTAGCTGTACTGAACAGCTAGCACCTGTTACATTTTAACGCCGGAGCAGTTTAAGGGATATCTAAATGCAAGAAATAGAAAAACAAACAACAAAGGTAGAAAAAAGGAAGAAGTCTCATAGCTAATACCTACATTGAAGGACAAAGCCACAAAAAATATGTTTATTGAAGGACTTTACTATAACAGATCCTAAGAAAGTTAACAAAAATAAAAATAGAAGAAATACCAGACTCCTTGTTCAACATGTGGGATCAAGTATTCTGATGATACAAATAGAATAAATTGGATACAGTGTGAACAGGTCACATGTTTGAGGTGGTATCATAATGCCTGCCAAGGTCTAGAGGAAAAAGCACCAAAGTCTTTTACTTGTATTGATTATGATGATAATTTAAATGATATTATAGATGTTTGTCTCAACCAACCCCATACGGTGTCTCAATGTGGACCACTATGGGGCTGGTTGAGACAAAAAAATAAGTTTTGCAAAACTCTTATATTTAATTTGGTTTTTAAGTATTTTGTGAATTCTTAAAAAAACATTAGTTCCTACCTTGACCTGTATGTAGGATATATTTTGAAATGAAAAAAAATTCTCCATTTTTTCGTCTCAACGTACCCCACCTAAATGTCTGACCCCACCTAAAGGACGTTCAAAAAACCTTGCTGAATGTTGTGGAATCCAAGAAGCGAGAATCCAACTTAATTATGTTTCGATTAAAAAAAGGCCCTGGCGAAGAAGCTAGTTTGTAAAATTATTAATCAACTGACTGATGGGAGGGTTGACAAAAGCAATATACTGAGGTTATTCACGTTAGGAAAAATGTCTGATAACGTGGTGAGACTGATTTTAATCAAGTTTGACAGTGTTGAAAGCAAAGGCACTTGTTTTAAAAAATGTTCAGAAACTGAAGTTGTTGGATAAAGATTTGGCCAGTGTCAGATTGAGCCATGATCTCACCATAGAACAAAAAGAGTTGAAAAATTTGATTGGAGAAGCCAAGAAAATGGAGGAGGTACGAAAATGATGGCTTTTTATAGAAAAGGTGAGAAAAGATGTGGGGAGGTGGAAAATAACTTGGTTTATCCCAAATGAAATTATTCTATTCTACTTCAAAAATTTAATTTTTTTTTGTATAATAGATGGGGCTTTAAGTTATCTTTCTATGTTTCGCCCAATAATACTGAGCACAGAGTACATTGGTTATTGTTAGTTGTCAAGATGGCAGACAAAATTTTTATTAATGAACTTTTATGTCTAATGTTTTATAACTGGAAAGAGTTAGCTCGCCCGTGGTTTCTGAAAATTGTTATGAGGATTTTGTTGATAATGATGCAAGGAGCAATATTATAATTTTGCTTTCTACGGTTTATTTCAATTAGCTATGAAAGTATGTCTGTGTGTGTTCAATTATTATTATCAATCTTATTCACTCTTAAAATATTCCTCAGAGGTAGACATAACATGTACGGAATATAAAGTTAAACAGTTCATTAACAGGTCAGACAGTCTCAACCAATACAAACAATAAAAAATCACTAAAACTGAATAACTTAAAACATGATTGTCAGACAATCCACGCGACAAGTGGGAATTGTCTGACATTCAACGACCGACAAGCAAGCACGCCATCCTGCCTTTCAATATAACCAACACACAATAAAAACATGACCAAAAAATAAAATTTAGATAACTGATTCTAATAATAAAAATAAAAAAGCAAATATGTATTTATATGTGGTTAAATATATTAGAATTTCTATTACAGTTTATTAATTAAGATTTTTTCTCTTTTTTTGCCGATAAAAGCTACCAATTTATTTTATTTTTATTTTCCATCACTTTTCTTTGATATTTGTTTGAAAGTATGGTCCAAATTTCTGTTTCGGTGTCATTCATCAAGATTTTGTTTAAACTTTTAATGTACATACATACATAAACACACATACATACATTCACATACACATACGCACGCATACATATTGCTTACTTATCGTTTTAAATTTATTAGATTTTATTTGAAGACAAAATTGTGCATTACAATATTATAATTAGTTTACGATGATAACCAGTTAAATAGCTCGTTAAGTGGGTTGAAACAGGGAAAACCTTGAAAAACGTGGTGTGGTTAATAATGGTGTGAATGATGATGGTGTGGTTGATGAGGATGTGGTTGATGACAGGGTATTGCAATACCTTCATCTGATTAGAATGGTTCTCCAGGTCGAGGACGACTTGATGCTTGAGTCTCGTATTTTCTTCCTGCAACTTGATGATATTGCATTTCGCATCATTCATCTCTTCATTCAACAGGATATTAGATGACGAAAGCACCTCCAACTTCTGGTTCAAATTGTCAATTGTCGATCTGCAATGAATGTGTATGTGTATATGCGGGCATAAGTGTGTGTGCGTGTGTGTAGATGTCTGTCTGTATGTTTGCGCTTGGTGGTTGTGTTAATAAGATGGTAATGTGTTTGTATGTAGTTGTTGTGTGTGTATGTGTTTGAGCGTGGGTCATTGCTATTTAAATTTGTTATATAATTTAGAAAAAATTTAAATTATAAAAAAACTGAATTATTGTTATTCAAGTAAGATCTATTGAAAATACTAAATAAAATAAAATAGGTATGATTTTAATCAGCCAAAAGGCAATTATATGAAAAAATATGACGGTAAAAGATGATCTAGAAAAAAAGGTGATCAACCACGGGTTTGCATAATTTTAATGGATATCATCCAGCAAAATATATTCACAACAATGAAATAACATTTTCCATCAAATTTCATTTGTTCATAGTTATCTCCGTTTACGGTTCACGCTCACTTATTTAACAAAATGACACATCACCCTTGAAAAAAAGCAGGGCAAAAGATTGCAGTAACCTCTGGTTTCTATTCACTTCCTCCATGTATTGTTTCTGACTGAGTAGGCTGGCCACAATCTGCTTGTCGGCATCATTAGCATCGCGATCTCTGTCAGATGAATGTAATTTTCCCATTAATGGTTTTAACACTCTAATGTAATCCATTATATAGTAGGCGTGATAGATCAGTGATGAAAGACCACATTCTACGTCGTTATCTTAGAGCTAAGTGACCTCATTCAGGTGCCAAAACATGCTGATCACCCTTTGCAAACTTTTGCGGAGCTTTGATACATGCAACATGCAACAACAGGTTATTTCGAAATTATTTTATCTTCGCTAGTGTTACACGATAGATATTTGTTATCATCATCATCCTCATCAGCATCATGCAACGTACAAACTTGCTATCATCATCCTCATCACCACCATGCAGACCCAGAGGACTGTTGGACAGCTGCATCAGGTAGCTTCCATAATCAATTACCCCAATCTGCAACAAGACAAGATTTTTAAAGAAACAATTAAATAATAAATGAAATGTAATGCAATCTTTCTGTTGACTTTGTTAAAACTCTTGAATGAACCAACAAGAATTATCTAACTAGACCAACCATGCACAAACACTCACACACGGACATTCACTTCCCATATCAGACTGAATGAATAATGCAATACAATTTTTCATAAGTAGGCACAGAACTCTGGCTTAGAACAAAAGTTTGATGGACAGCATAGCAAATAAGTAACTTGTTGTGAAGTTCTCATTGAATAAAAGGAAATTTATAAAATAATGAGCCAGTACCATTGCAGACAGCCCAATTTCATTGATAAGGGGATAATTGTAAGCAATGTGTCGGAGTCGGACGAAAAATTTCCGAGTTCAAGAAAAATTTTTCAATTTTTGCCCCATAATTTCACCTTATTAGCACTACTAAGTAAAAATCAGTCAATGTAATTAATTTTGTTAATAAAATTACTTTATTTGTATGTTCTTCAATATACTGAAGAAAATTATGTGATTTTATTCATATTATTAGCATTTATTTTTAGTATTAAAGATAATTGCTTATCACTACAAATATTTATCTTTTAAAAAACACAATCATAAAAAAAATTTTCAAAAAAAAATTTTTTTCTAAATAAATAACATTTTCCGGACACCGCCCCTTGAAAAATTCCGACTTCCACTCCGACAAAAATATCCGACTCATCAGTGCCAAAAACATATATATATATATATATATATATATATATATATATATATATATATATATATATATATATATATATATACATATATATATATATATATCTCTGCGTTTTCGGCACTGATGAAAGTGACGTTAACCTTAATCTCAATAATGAACTTAGAGAAAAATGCCGAAAAAGAAGTGATATTTATGATATGATATTTGATATGATGTATGTATATGTGTGTGTGTGTGTGTGTGTGTGTGTGTGTGTGTGTGTGTGTGTGTGTGTGTGTGTGTGTGTGTGTGTGTGTGTGTGTGTGTGTGTGTGTTG